AGCACCTTGAAGTTTCCATTATTGTAGTCGCCTGCCGCCTTGTGATACAGACTTTCCCAACCGCTCATGATTTCGTGGATTTCGTATGATGATTAAAAGTGGTATATGTGTGTGGATATAGAAAGGATAAAAGTTCTCTAGGCAGAGTGTTATGAAGACGGCTTTCTCTATCGTCAGAAATGGTCCTGTGGGATTGGATAAAAATAACCCATGCAACTGTTATGCATAATAACGGTGTGTATCAACTTTTTTTTGCGGGCGGTTCTTTGATGTCGGCTTCGTACGACATCGCACAATTTCGCAAGGTCATCTGATGACCTTATAGAGTAGTATCTGTACTTTGGCGAGAAAAAGAAAAATGCGTAATGATCGTGATGCGCGGATACTCTTTCGCCTTTTATGTTAAGACTTAAAGACACCATCGTCATTTGTTTTAATATTTCAAAACATCTGGTATATTTGTTTGGAAAAAAAAAAGACGTTCGGATCAAATGTGATTATCCTGATGACTTTGGTTTTTATTGCGGTTTCGTGAAACCCTGCTGAAAAAGGAATGCATATCTTCCCTGATTTATCCGGTTAATGATAATTGCGTTTTTATAGCTGCATTTTTCCGAACCCTGCCTCAATAATATACCAAATTTGCACAACGAAAAATTTGACATAATACAAATTGAAACTTTTTCACATATTTATTCCGAGTGCAAATATGGCGGGACAATTTTCGGGAGAGATCTTAAACATCCCATCCACGCAGGTAGTGGATTGAACCCAGAGACTGTGATAAAGGGTATGAAGCATTTGCGAAAGTGGGGGCTCAAAAAAAAAATAAGAAATTCATTTAGGATGCATAGGAAAAAATTCTCATGAAATCTGGAGCGACCAATCTTAAAAACACCGATTAATTACCTTGAGACCAATTTTCATATATGAACTGGCGAGCGATTCGGCCCAATCTCTTACCAACTTGTACTTCTCCATGCAACCGATTCTTGCCAGTCCCGCGCTAACTTCATCTGTATAGTATTCGTTCAATAGCTTGACCGTCAGCTCGTGTATAGTCGGTTTCCATGGCATGTTAACCAGAATCCTGATTACACCTGACCACTTTGCAGAAGAAAGTGTACGAACTCGATGATGCTTGATGATTAGTGAGATGAGGGTTTGTAACGCGGATTCATAGAGCTCGACGTGTAACATATTTGGATTCTCAGATAATGGCATGGTGACCCTAAAGTATTCCAGGGAACGTCGCAAGGAAATGATGTCACCTTTCTCGCAGCGTTCAAGCATGTAATGACAAAACACCTGAAAGAATAAGAAATCTCAATTTAATTGGTTATGGGAGATGCCGTGAAGATGAACAAAGAAATGATAATATTGTATTATTTACTTTTCTAGCAAGATCGCTACGCCTCAACAAACCGATCTCAGTTTCTCCAAATTGATTCGACGGATTGATTATCGGTGGCACGTCATTTTCATCTTCGGTCGTTTCGCTAGCTTTAAACATGCTAACTGTGCTTGTTTGTCGTAACCTGTCATCAAATATCAAAACCAATAATTGCTTATAGAATTTTGTGTAAATTTCCTCGTTCACTTGTGGCATATTAAAAATCTTGCTGGTCATCATCTTGTGTGAATTACTTCCAAGATTAATCATGGAAGATAACCACTTGAGCGTCGAGTCCTTGTCTTTCTAATTATATAGGTCATGTAGGCTAAATTTTACATCTATGTAACTCAATAGCAGAAGGTAAAGTCAACATACCGTTACCGAGCTTACTATGTTATGTACATATTTTGAAGGATTTTTCATATCTGCATTAGACTTATCCGAATTTTTCCGGTAGGTCTCATCGACATATTTCTTCAGGATTTCGACTATTTTTGCGGCGAAAACATTATAAACGATGGGATCTTGGAAAATCATTGCAATGTCTCTTTAAATAGAATAAAATTTTCAGCATTCCTCCCTAAATTAACCATAAACGTGGAAATCCTTGCTTCAAAAAATATATCGTCATTTGATTTCTTACCCAAAATCTCTAGACCCATTTTTCTTATTTTTTGCACAAAGTTGATTTATTTGGTTGATACAAGATAAATCTATTCCTTTTCTTATTCCTCCATTTATGTACCAGATGATATTGTAGGAATGATCCCTTTTACACATCTGTCAAATTTACAAAGATGTTACTCTCTTCATTATCTGTGCTCGTTTCATGAAAGAAAATCTTACTTGAATTCTTCCGGCCTTCTGCATTCCCATGAAGAAATCGAATCGAAATGAACATATCTTTGAGACTCCAAACTCTCTGTGCCATTCTCGTATGATGTGTAATAGATCCTCGAAAAGATCGGAACTTTCGTGAACCAAGTTAATTATCGATCGCAATCCTTGGTCATCCAATCTGGAATTGCGAATATTACAATTAATCTAATCACAATCCTTATAACCATGAATTATTTGCCCACCTTCTGTCCAACGCATCGTTTACGTTTATCCCCCTCATTTCTCTTGCTATCATACTTAAACTCTGATTCTGTACATAAACCATAAGATACATCTGTGCAACATGCTTGAATTTCACTTTGTCCCGAGCATATAAACCTCTCTTTATCTCTATCGGCGCTTCCTGATTTAAACAAAGGTTTTTAACAAAAATCTAACTATTTCGGAAACCGATAGAAAACTGCAAAACTTACCACTTCGATGGATGGCTCACGTGCCAAAATTGCATAAACATCAGATGTTATACGCTCCGGATATTTCCTAAGCAACGCCAGAAGTACGGGACGTAATTCTTTAAGAAACAATAACGACATCGTTTTGGCCAGAAAGCTATTAAACCTATATATGCATTAAGAATATAATTCCAATAAAATGAAGGGATAAAAGAAGTTTAACCTCGAAAAGATATGCGCTGAAAATTTAACATTCTATGCCTCTTCAAATACATACTTGTCCTGATCCCATTGCTCTGTTTCGATTGCCTTTATGAACTTGTCTCTCAACTCCTCTAATATGCCTGCATGAATATTATATCTGGACATTCCGCTGGACTCAAGTAGCGGATAGACATTCTACCTTCGCGTGAAGACAGAAGAAGGTCAATAAGATCACTAATTCCGAAGTCTGCACTAAACGCGCTTACCTCGATATTCTCGACTTTCACCTGATAATGTTGTTGAATTACTGAGATACCTGTGAGAGGATCACTATCACCAAGAACTAAACCTAAGCGACGCGCGCCCTGCGGTCCGACCATGTAGCGATCTGGATCAAAAGACATGTTCTCTGAAAGAATGCTCAAACAACTTGAGAAGTTTCTCTGTAAATGTATTTCGCGATCTTCGATATATAATCGTCACGTGGTATACTGCATTTACACAATAATTAATAAAATTAATAATCATGGATATCAACTAATTAAACATAATATACTATATTTTTTATATATTTTCGATTATATAATACTAAGATTAATAACAAAGGAAATTGAAATTATAAATAAATAAATAAAATAATTAATATTGTAATAAAAAAAAATTCTTTTAATTAAGTATTCAAGTTAATAATTTTTAAAAAAATTTAAAAATTAGATAAAATTATTTATTATTTTAAAATTAATTTTAATCAAAAATATTAAATAAATTCTTTTAAACAATTACAATATTATTTAATTGGTTTTTAACTATAGATAATAAAATAAATTGTTTTTTAATATCAATTATAATATATTATTACTTAACAATTTAATAATAATTAATATTATAAGACCTACCCGGTCATAGTCCAGTGGGCTAAGGCAGGATAGGGCTAACCTATGAACCACGGTTCAACCCCAGCTGG